TAGAGGACAGGACCTAAGATCAAGCCCTGCCGGACCCAATGCTCAGTTGAAAAACATAACGAAGTTTAAGAAAATAATGTTATTTTGAATAATAATATAACTACTTCTTCAACATCAAGGATTAGGTCTGAAGGCCTATTCTGTCCTCTAATGTAACTTTCCGTCCCTAATGTAACATTCCATCCATAATGTTATTCTCTGTTTTTATATAGTGCATGCTCTCAGAGCCTCCAATCAGTAGTACCTAATGCAACATCTTTTTTAAACAGGAAGTTCACTAACTTCATTTATCTGAAAATTATTTGCCTTATTGATTCTCCATTTAACGAAGGTATTTCATACTTGACAAGTCATAATTGAAAGCATTTGTATACAACATGAAAATTGTTCTCATAGAAAACAATATTAAAAATTGCATTCAAAAAAGAGAAATAAATATGATCACAAAGTGATTAAAGGACAAAACTGCAACTGTAAAAATGTCTGAAGCATTCAAAAGAATTTTTCTGAAACAGAGATAAATGGTATCAAGTAAATGAGACTGTTGATAAAACCTATCTTGTTTATGACTAGAGCAGAGATGTTTGGAAAAATGCCTTTTTATTATTGTTAAGTCTTTATGACTTTCAGAAATCTCCATCAAGCTGGAATCATTTTTGCAAGCCTGGACAACATGATGGCAGGGCATTGTCTTCTGTGGGCAGTGTCAGGTTGTGTTAAAAATCTGAATGGGAAAGGAAGATGATGCCAGTGATGATTTTTGATATTTTTATTGATGTTAACAGACTTGTTCCCTCACATGGAAATCATTGTATGTTTGAGTAAAGCCTCAGATCCCTTTTGAGGACAGAGCCTTTTGATGACATACCCTTCTCAGATCCTTCTTGTTCACTCTTGTTTTGTCGTGATTACACAAGTGTGAAGAATTAAATCTATAATTCTGTTTTCAATGATAGCATTTCAAGATTCAAAAGGGAATCCACAATAGTATTTTCTAGACAGCATCATAAGTAAAATAAATTCGTAGTCGTCATACAGGAGGGTCATGCGCAGTCAAGATTTCCGAAAAAGATAGTTTATTTCCATGAAAGTGGTAATGTATATTTTAATTAAAATAAAAATGAAATCATTTTAACTACTAAATTTTTTACAATAATTACTTGTAAATAATTATTTTTCAATGCTTCCTGAGCTTTACAACCCTTACTTTCGCCAGAATAAATGTCTTTTTTAAGTGTCTATTTTAGTAAAAATAAATGCCTTTTTGCTTACCTAATTTAAGCAATATAAATGCCTAAATTTCTGAGCTCTATTAATGACACTCTGTCTTATTTATGACACAAACTACAGTCTGTGATTTTTTCAGTGTTGATATTTCATTCTAAACTATCCCAGCTTGATAAGTGTTGGGGCAAACTAAAATGATTAATTACAGAAAATTTTGTCTACTTCTTAGGAGATAAATTTCTCTCTTTGCCCCCAACTGCCACTATGACATGTATAAATAAAGTAGATACAATATCTTATGGTTATAAAATTTTTACCATAATGGTAAAAAAAGATACAATATAAAAAATATCATTGTAGTGAATATAGATTTTAAGAATAATCATTAGTCATTTACTAAATCTTTAGATGTTATTCACTGGTTTTGTAATAGCTCTTACAAACAATTGATAATCCAGGCTTCACGGTAGATCACAACTGTTGCAAAAGATGAATTTTGAGAAAGAAAATAGGAATGATTCCTTGTATCACAACTTGTTGTTTTGTATCCTGTCAACCCTTTCGTTTGATTCTAGTTTGGACAGAGTTTACAAAAATATTATGAATAAAACCACCACACATGAGGGTCTGTTCAAGATATTTGATACCTTCAGATAAGCTTTCTATCACTGGTGATCACATGCAAGTATAATAATACTATTTGACTGGCTCTTATTTCCTATGGAATTTAATATTTTAGAATGTACATTAATTACAATTAGCTTGACCCATGTGAACATTCTTTTGAAAGTGAAAATAGTTTCATACTGGATTCCAACTTCAGACCTAAACCTAAATCGTACACTGGAAAATTGTAGGCCTATCATGACAGGCATATTACCACATCAATTTAAATTTAGAACTTTTTTAAATAATTAATTTAAAATAAATATATCTTCTCATTGAAAGAAAACTTTAGTGTTTCTGAACCAATGCTATGGAGTGATAAAAAAAATGGAAAGTCCAAAAAGGTCTCATTTTGTAGTTTATGGTATAGAAAACTTAACATGTGTTTCTTACAGGGGTATGTACAAATTGGTTTTAAGGCTCTAGAATGCATCATTGTGAAGTTATGGCCAATAATAAAGTTTGTTGCAGTGTAATGTGTTTTGCAGGATACATGTGTGCCAGATAATTCAATTACACCATACTCTGTAAACATCTGTGTGTTTTGCATTAAATCTCTTCGATCTGAGGGTAATTCAGCAATGCTTCACTTATGGGTTTTGTGTCAATGTTTTCTTATAAATGCGAATAACTCATTATCTTTCCTTAGTGTATTACATATAGGGAAATTTAACTTTATCTCTTTTTTATTAATAACACAGGTCAATGTTTTCCATCCTTTTAAAAATTTCTTATTTTGTAATTAATTAATTCTTGTAACATTTGGAATATATTCTTAACAGCTTATACAAATTTTACATTAATTATGGAAAAGCTATTGAATTAGTAAAAATTAATTCCAAAAAAAAAATAATTACATAATGAGGTACTATATTAAAAAAAATTATATTGCTTTTAAGTAAAAATTCAAACAACAATAATGTAACTTTAAGCCTGTATAGCACTGCATTCAGAGATAATTACTAGGTTTGATTCAAACCTTTCATTGGTTACATCATGGTCACTATTGATGAGTTGAGGGAGCAGCAGAAAATTTGTCCTTCTTGGTGGTAAAATCAATTGCAATTAAAAATTTATCCATGAACAGCTATATAATCTTCTGCATCACAAACTCATTTTTTAACTCTAATCACAGATATTTGTTTTATGGTTTATTGCAAGGGAAAGAGACAATTTAATTAATATTAAATAATAATTTTCTTATTTATTTTTTCAGTTATACAGCTATAAAGAAAGGAAAGGCTAATATGGGAATAATGATACCTACATATTTATACATCCATGACATATATTTACATTGAAACAAAACAAACTCCTTGCTTTCAAAAGATTGTGCTAACAATATAGATCATTTTTATAGCTCAGTCTATATAAAACAAAACAAAAAAATATTCTTCTTGGCTAAAGAAGAAATTTGAGGAGTGAAAACACATAATAATAGAATCTATTTATTAATTTGAAATTAATTAGCAGTTAAACTCAAACCATACCTAATATATTCTGCAATTCTAATGAAAGGAGAGTATACTAAATACATAAATAGTGTATATGCTACTGTATGATTTTAATAGGAACCTGAACAAAAACATCTATGAATTATATTCTATGCAAATACTTTAAGATAAGGGAAACCACAACTTCATGGATATTTTAATACATTAAAGCTGTCAAAATCCACTTAACACCATAATCTACTAAGCTTCAAGAAGTACACAGTCAACAATTGAATAAATCTTAAGATTTATTATGGATATTCTTTGCAATGGCATAATAAAATCATCTTTGATAGACATAGCCATAAAATATCTTATTGATTTACACTTATTATTTAGAAGTCATGGGTATATCAATAACAAGTCCCATACAGATACTTAGAAGTACAAAGAAGATGCAAAGCCTGAGATTTATTTCTTAACAATTCCTAACGAACAAAAATTATAAAATTCATTTTAACCTACAAATAATTTTCAGATTAACAGAGTAACGTTTAAGAAGAGATAACTTATAAGTTACTTAGTCCCTTCATAAACAAAATTTATTTTATGTACATTGTATTAAAATGTTGTCTTGCCATGGAAAAAATTAGAAATGTAGCAAACAATAAAATATTCTTCTCAGTAAATACAAGGTATTTAAAGAAACAAATTATTGGATCTGTTTTAACAACAGAATCTGTCTAAGACAATGTATTTATAAATGCAAAATGCATTTATTTAATTATTGTAATCTAAAATACAAAAGAACTCTAAGGAAAGAAAATAGGTCTAACAAACATGTAATAAAATATCTAACTTTCATGATTTTTGAAGCAGTCTCCTAGTTTATTTTTCACACAAGATGCTGTGTATTCTTTTCAAGTATTTTTAATACAATAAACATTACTTCAAACATTTTTTAAATTATTATAAGATACATAGTTGTTTAGGTTATAAATTTGTAAACTACAATTATCCTTTGAATATATTTCAAAATCTGAAAGACTTATCAAAATTCATTGCTGGATTCACATCATAAAAGTCAATTGAATTTGAATTCATCACGAAAGCTCATTTCTTGCTGTTTTTTCTCTTTCAATAGAGCTACAACACAACACTTTTTTTGTTCCCATGAATCTAGAATTAATAAAGAATAACTTAAATTTTGAATTATTTTGTCTGAAGATTTGAACAAAATAACAATAATCTCTTTTTAAAAACTGAACCAAAGCAATAAAACAATATTGTTGTGTAATGAATTTTAATTTTTAGATGGTGACAACCATTATTGTTCATTTATGAACTTGTACAAGGAAGGAATCACTTATGAACAAGAAATGTTATTTTAAGTTCAAATGCACCAGCACACACATAATAACATGTATTATCATTTTGACATGTTTTCAACAGCCAAAAGTGCACTTCTTGAGTTTAAAATATACCCATAGCTTAGCTCCCATTCAAAACTTTCACAAACTAGACACAAGAGACTGCAGAGTTAATAAAATAACATTCAAAAAGGGTGAAAGAATCTATCCATTAAATTAGGGCAAAAATTGTATATGTAGTCCATTATCACCAAAGCAGTTTTCAAAAAGCGATTACTTCACACATCATATTCTTATTGGGTTATAAATTGGTTGAATCATCAATGAATAAAATCATTGTCAAATATTTCTGTTTTCCCACTTGACTAGCTACATCGCGATTCCTCAGAAAGAGAAAAAAAAATCATATATGCAGTTACAGCATTATCACAGTCAGAGGACACTTCGTGTATCACAAAAGCACCAAACATGAGACTGGGGCAGCTAGTGGAATCTTCATCGTTTATTGCGTCCCTTCATCGTAAACCGCCGCCAGAAACTAGTCTTCTTGTTTGCTGATTCTGCCTCATAGATGTCGTCGTCATCGTCACAGTCCACCAGGCGACCTCCTGATTCACGCGTTGGGGAACCGTGGCCCGAGTCATCATCGTCGTTCACGAAACGTCCGCTAGGAGTGGAAGGATTGTTATTACCTCCTCCGCCACCGCTACGAAGCATATCCAAGAAATTAGCTTCGGGACTCATTTTTTTGCCGGTTTTATTCGATGGTGGTCCAAAACTTAAACTCTCTACATTAATTTCAGCCTTCAGCTTTTCAGGAGGGATGTCTTCCACGCGAAATTCGTTGGGGTCCTCGACAAATGCCTGCTGAAGATCTCGCATTATTTTTTTACGAATTGTTTTCTTCATTGACAAATGACGCTCCAAATGTTTCACATCTCTTTCAGTGAGGGTCCTAGAATTGTCGCGTCGACTATTGCGCTGTTTTTTCTTCTTCTCCTTGGACGAAGATTTTGGTATTTCTTCCTCACTCGTAGAACCTACTGAAACAGCGCTATCGTTGCCCGCAGACGATTTGTTGTTGGCATCTCCTTTGTTAAGACGCATGTCCTGAAATTGATGTTGCAAAACGTCAACATTGTTTTGCGCGTGATTTTCCCAGGAATTATGAAAACCGAAGATGTCGCGGAGATGAGGGATGCTGCGGTCCGGGTTCTGACGTGACATGTTGACTTCGCAGTTCTGAAACAAAGAATAGAATACTGATCACTCATCACGTAACATAATGTCTTCTGAATGACCTCACTTTGAAGCTTAATTCTATATTTGCTTAATGTCCTATTTACAAAAAGCTGTCTAACACAATGTCACACACACACATATCACACTTTCACGTAGGAAGGAGGAGCACTTATCATTGCAAAATAAACCCGGAAATGAAAAAAAAAATCGTTCTTCATGAACAACCTGCGCATGAAGGAGCAGCAATGCTGCCGGAGCACCACACCGGGACCGATGCACCGGAAGAAACACACGCGTGTACAATCAGAGCCTGGACGCGCTGCTGCGCTGCGGCCGCCTGCGCGGACCGGGCGGCAACAATGGAGAGTCGGTGGGGTGGCAGGTTGACGTCACGGCGGGCGGCGTGCAGCGCGCGGCGGCGGCGCTGCGGTGGAGTCCGAACCAGTCCGCCCGCGCGGTCGTGCCGGGTTGGGAAACCCACACCCGCCGCCGCCGCCCACCGGGGAAAGCGCCAGCTGCCAGATTCGCGAGCAACCGCTGCTGCCGCTGCCGCCACCATCACTACCACCACCGACCGGCCAGCGCCGCCCCCGCCTACCCACGGCGGCCGTCTTCGTGGGTGTCGACCGGTTCGATGCTCGAAAGAGTGGCTTCGGCCTGACTGTACATGGGTCGCAGAAAAGCGGGATGCTCCGGTCTTGCCGACGAGGCGATAACGACCTACTTCATTGAGCGACGAAAGTGTGACTAATACTCGTAAAATAGATGATATCGACGGAAGAATTGAAGAGAATAGTTCCTTTAACGTAGGTGTATGCAAATATTTAATTTTTTATTCCAATTTCTGAAAGCCTTTTACAACTTTTAATAAATACAGCTTTTTATGTAGAAATATGCAGATTAGTGTTCATCCTTACATCGTGATGAACGTTGTGCATTATGACGAAAGATATAGCAAGTTCGTTCCATGTCACAATTTTTATTGCAGGCGATGCTGCGATGGGGGAGGGGGAGAAGAGTCGGCTCACGACTTGGGCACCTTTGTTTTCTGTCCTTTGAACCCGGATGGCGTCACTCTTTTTCATACATGCACGCTTCTGGCACCTCATTTTCCAAATAACCTAGCCATTGCTCGCTTCTGGCTTATGCGAATTCACACCAATGTGTCTGGGTGACCGTCCTGGCAGATTCTAATTTTAAACACGGATTTCTTTCTTGACAGCGGAATTCAAAACTTGCACTATCATGGAAGCAATAAATGTAGATGCTCAGGGAAAAAGCCTGGCACGATATAAACTTGCTGACACGCTTTAAAATAAATGAAATGGCACATTAATAATACGGAAGAATACTTTCTATTCCCTGAAACCTCTAAGATTGTTTCTGCGTTACTCAAACCGTTCATTAGGCTGGCGATTAACGAAATAGGATAATAAATTTAACTTGCACTGAACTAAAAGCAATCCATATCTCTCCCGAGAATTCCATTTCTGAATCCTGTGCTAACATCTCACTGCCCTCTTTTTCAATTGAAGTGATATTCCTCTCTCTAAATATACACCAGTTCTGATTTCATGACTGGATAAATCAGCGAAACGAGAGTTATTTCCTGTGCTTCAGCAGTTATACTATTTCAAGGACTTCAAAAGGACCGACCGACATTTTTGCGGACCTTTCAGCGTAGGCGTACTGCCAGAAGGTCTCACATCGACTCTCCTTCGAATTGTATTCGTTTAAGGTCACGCATCCGAGGTTGAATGGAGTAGGTGGGAGGTAAGAGGAGCGCATGCTCCTTCATCGAAGCAACAGCTCCCTAAAGATTACCGCAACTGAATATTTCGACACTTCCACGAAGAGCAGTGTGGAGAAACGTAATGAATTGCTTTTAAAATCGTGAAGATGAGATTTCTAATTGAGCAGCGTTGGGATGTAATGATTAAGTAGCAGCAATTTACTCCCCTTTCCCTCTTTGCAACACAATCGAATTGCTGCAGTGGCAAAACTGTAACGCACCGACCCTGCGGAGTTCGAACGAATCGTGACGCTAACAAAAAGAGATTTACAGCCAGTAAATAGCTCAGACGAATGCATCATAGAACAATGGGCCGCCGTTTTAAAGCTCGCTTCCGCAAAGCACAACTTTCGGTGATTCGGAACCTAATCCAGGAAATACGCATCGCCGCTGCAGGAACTTGCGTGCCGGTGAGGGAGAGAAGTCTTTTCCCAAGGCGCAGTTCCTCAAGTTGGAACTCTAGTGCCCCCATAAACGCGTCCGGAGTTCTGAGAAGGCGGGAACGCCGGGTTCCTCGTCTATTCCAGCGTTGAAGTCTCCAACCGTCTGTGGCGCCGCGTGGCTGGCGGGAGAAGGGGGGTCGTATGGGAACGGGGAGGGTTCGAGTGGCGGGAGCGAGAAGCGCGGGTGGTTCGGACGGCGGCGACGGCAGCGAGGACCTGCGAGCTTCTTGCAACACTTTCACTTCGCGGTAGTCAACTACTTTTATTTGTGATGATTCTTTCTGGGAAATCATGTTGTCCCGTGGTCGAATGTTTTCTCACATTTCTTGAAAAAAGGAATCTGGTTGAAAACCTTTCCGAGTCCTGGTCCCAGAACTTCTTGCAGAGACTGTATCGTCCCCGGAGTGGCCACGTAATCGTGCTGAAGTGGTTATGCGCGGGAAGATGCGTCGGAGGAGAAGGATGAGGAGGAGGAAAGAAATGGACGAGTTCGTGATCGTCAGGCGAGATTCGTACGGATACGGCAGCTAAGCGGCCAAGAGAGGACGTGGTAGTCGTAGTATAGAGGAAGCGGGTGAGTTTTGTGGGGGTGGTACCACCTTCTGCAATTCTCGTGGTCGTTTCGTATAAACGAACCTTTTGTCATCACCACTTTCAGAGGAATGAGTGTGATTGAACTGCGACTGTGTGTTAAGGATATGCTTGGCTGTCGGCCAAATAATAAATTACAGTCTTGTACGGTACTGAATTCAAAAGAGATGCTTTGGAGGAATTATGTTACAATAAGAGGGAAGTTCTTGATTATGAGTCATTTTATATTCTTAGATGGGGCACGCAAGCCGCTGTCAGTCATCTCAAAAGTATTAGTACATTTTTATAAAATATGTAATATTAAACTAGATTTAGAATCTACTCAGTTTCATATATAGTTTCATATTTTTTCCTGTAAAATAAAACAAATAGCGTTTCGATAAGTGTACAGAAAATGGTGAATAAAATCACCCCAAAACTGGAAAACATTCTTTGTAAAATGTTGTGAGAAAATATAGCCAAAATTGTTGGTATAAAGTAGTTTCATTTTCTTGAGTATAAATCATTTGTGAAAGCAGTTGATTGAAATTATAAAAATAAAAATTTGGTTGTCCTAGTTGTCTTTTGCCCACTCTGTCGAGTAATTAGATCAAAAGTCTACTTAAACCTTTACCATTCTCTATCTGGAATGCTTAAAAACTCTAAAGCAAGTTGAACTATAGGTAAAGCTGTTTAGTCTTGATCCGAAGTTCTGAATTTATGTTCCAGGTACTGCTCGTTTCTGAAGTGAGAGTCACGAGGAACGAAGATGTTTTGTAAGCGAGGAATTAAAGAACAAAGTCGAAAGTGGCCACAAAACATGGATCTAACAAGTACAATTTACTGCACCGTTTGACAATCGTCTTCATTCAGACTTCGTGTCACTTTTTTAAAAGTGAGCAATGTGTTTACACGCAAATTTATGAATGTCTTGAATAACACGCAGGGTAGAGACAAATACGCTGAAGACGAAAATATTAAGAAATAATACATAAGATTCAAGCACAGAAAATAAGACCAAACAATTGTTTTATCTCTAAACATTTATGTTGTTGTAGCATCTTCATTTTACGTTTAAAGTTTTTTATTATAAACTCAAGTTGCTAATCATATTATTCTATGAGGACTAACTGTTGAAAATGTGTCTTACTTGATAATGGAGAAATATATATTGCATGCATCTAATGCATACCCAAACAAAACCACTTTTCCGAATACTCATGATGAATGTAAGTCTGAAACACATTATTGATTTTATCGTCTGCGGTTTTTAAAAAGGAAAAATGTGTTTCAGAAAGAAATTACGTCAACACTTTGATTCTTTGCGATTTCAATAAGTAAATTTAATTTATTGTAATATAAATTATTGTGAACGATTGTCAATGTAATTCATGACAATTAGTTTGGCACACAAAAGAGTCTGGCGCAAGGCATTTTGGAAGGGGTCACCCCCATTTTTTTAGTACTTCACATGCACTGTTCAACCAGTTTCTGTGCGAGGATGCTGACGTTCATATAATATACATACTTGTGGGGTAGATACAATGTGAATCATGGGTTCAACAAAAGTCCCTTGAGATCAGCCGTCTTTAAAGAAGCGAACTTTCTTCTGATCAATCGGAGGCACCGGATTTGTGTGGTCGGTAAAGAAAACGGACAGGAAGTTGAGAAGAGTACCAAGGTGATTAAGCAAATGACGGCGATAAAACTAAAGGGAAACAAGCGGTGGTGGAGGCGGTATAGCGCCGTGGGTGGTGAATTCACTATGTTGAAGATATTTGCTCATCAAAGGTACCAGTCGGTATATCTTGGGAACAAAGGGACCATTTCTTAATGAGGAATATCAATCAAATCATGATAAAATATTAATTTCTAGGTGATGCGATGGGTACAATACTAATTTCTGAACGTAGGGGAAAGAGATTTACGCCTATATACCCTTCTTTTTGGTAAAGTGATCATAGTTTTTCTCCCACCAGATAGGCAGTAGGGATGTACATCCGGTGTGAATTAATTCGAAATATGGGTGATAACAGTACATAGGATGATTGCTCAAATGAGATGAGATAGTGGTAGTATGAGCCACCGACTATGCTACACTCGCTTAGCGAAACACGCATTCCTTCCGCGGGACTCGAACCCGCAACAGAGCACCACGTCCGCGCGGAGACAAGCGTGCGGATACTAAGGCGATA